GCTCACTGCACTCTCCGCCTCCTGGGTTCAAGCAATTCTCCTGCCTCAGCCTCCCAAGCAGCTGGGACTACAGGCATGTGCCACCACACCCAGGTAATTTTTTTGTATTTTTAAGAGATGGGGTTTTACTATATTGGCCTCATGATACCCTGCCTTGGTCTCCTAAAGTGCTGGGATTATAGGCGTGAGCCACCGCGCCTGGCTGACTTCACGACTCTTGTAATCCCTAATGCCAGTTCATTTGTTCTGAACCCTGCCTTGCACATAACACTAAGCTGTATTTAGATTTCTTTCCTTTTCCTCTTTGTTGTGGGCATTTAGCTAGTTTAAAAATGAGTGCTTAGTTATAATCCATCAGCAATTTTTCATTTGAAGGAAACTTTTGAATCTTTCTACAGCAGAAATCTTAAATTGATAATGGATTTAAAGAATCAGTTCCTTAGCCAACACAATCTTACATGGACACAATTGGAGGACTCACACTTCTCAATTTTAAAACTTACTAGAAAGCTTTAGTAATCAAGGTAGTGTGATGTTGGCCTAAAGATAGATGGAGGCCAATGAAATAAGTCCAGAAGGTTAACCTCCACTTAGCCAATCACCTTCTGACAAGTGCCTCAAGGTACAGCTAGTGCTCGACTTATGACCACGGTCGGGACCGTGGACCGGTCGTAACACGATGTGGTCGTATGTTGAGTAGGCTATATGTACAGTTGAAATGGTGCACGCGGAGATGGTAGTGCTGTCGGAAGCTGGTCCGCACTGTTGTACGCCCAGCTGGGCAACGTTTGCGCTGCCAAACGCGGAGCAGTCGTGGCTAGCGATTGTGGTCGTAAAGTCGAATGGTTGTAAGTTGCATAGGTGGTAAGTCGATCAATACCTGTAATTCAATAGAGGAAAGGATAGTCTTTTCAATAATGTTGCTGGGACAACTAACTATCCCACCTTCCTCTTTCTTATATAATTCACACAATTCCAGTTTAACTCAACCAACTCAATAGACCTAGATTTAAGAACTAAAAGCATAACATTCTTAGAAAATATAGGACTTGGCTGGGCGCAGTGGCTCACACCTGTAATCTCACCACTTTGGGAGGCTGAGGTGGACGGATCACCTGAGGTTGGGAGTTCGAGATCAGCCTGACCAACATGGAGAAACCCCATCTCTACTAAAAATAGAAAAATTAGCTGGGCATGGTGGCGCATGCCTGTAATCCCAGCTACTCGGGAGGCTGAGGCAGGAGAATCGCTTGCTTGAACCAGAGAGGTGGAGGTTGTGGTGAGCCGAGATCATGCCATTGCACTCCAGCCTGGGCAGCAAGAGTGAAACCTCCATAAAAAAAAAAAAGGGGGGGAATAGAGGACTCAATCTTTTTGACTTTGAGCTAGGCAAAACCTTAGATAAGCCACTCAAAGCCGAAATAATGACAAAAGAAACATACGTTGGGCTTCACCAACTTAAAAACTTTTGTTCAAAGTATGCTATCAAAATTGTGAAAACACAACTGGAAAAAGGGAAAATGTTTGCAAATTGTATATTCTAGATACAGGTTATTTATACAAACGACACTTGAGAGACAACATAATTTTTAAAATGGACAAAAGATCAGTTAGATACTTCTCCAGATATATTTCTTTAAACAAAATATACAAATGGCCAATAGATGCATGAAAATGTTCAGCATCAGTAACCATCATGGAAATGCAAGTGAAAACCACAATGAGATCATTTCATACCCGCTAGGATGGTTAAAATTAGACAGATATTAACAAGTGTTGATAAGGATGTGGAAAGATCAGAAGCAACCCTCCTGTGCTGCTTGTAGGAATATTAAATGGTATGGCTTCTTTGGAAAACAGTCTGGCACTTTCTTAAAATGCTAAAGATATGTATTACTGAAGTGGTGTCATTTGGGGAAATACACAAGCTTCGTTGTCCCGCAGTAAGGAAAACAAAGATGCAGACCCATGAGGTATGGGTTTAGGAGCAGAAAGTTGAGTAGGTGAAAGAAGAGAAGAGCTCCCCCTTGTAGGGAGATGGGCGTTCTGAATGGATCTTCCTCTTTGCAGAGGGATGAGGTTGGTTTTATGGAGGGGCTTGAGGAGGTGGTGTCTGATTTGCATAGCGCCCAAAGGGTTGATTGGACCAGGTGTGCCCTTTACATAGCTTGTGAAGAGGCTGGTCATCCCACCCTAATCCTTTATTATGCAGATGCGGTTTCCACCTGGCTGGCACCTTAACACCTGCATACATGGCCACAAAGAGAAGGGAAGAGGAAACCTCCATGTTGGATATACCTGGCTTCTGGCATAGCTGCTGCCATTCAACTATGCCAGCTTCCAGCTTGCTTGTCTATGATTGCAGCTTGATTTTTCAGGCTACTTTTTGTTAGAAAAGATTATTTGGGGGCTGTTTTTTTATTAAGAGAAAATTCCACTGAGAACTTTTACTAGCCACCTAAATAATTCCTTTTTAACTCCTATATATATGACCCAGAAATTTTACTCCTACTTCAACACGCAAGAGTTTAAGTTCTTGTTTGAACATAGTCACTAAAATCGTCACATAAATGTTTGAAACCTTATTCATGGTAACCAAAAGTATATATAACCATAATGTCTAGCTCACGAATGGATAAACAAAAGGTGGGATATCCTACGATAGAATATTATCAGAAATGGAAAGGAAGTAAGTGCCAAGACATATTACAGTATGGATGAATCTTAAACACAATGCTAAGTGAAAGAAGCCAGTCGGGAAAGAACAGACGCTCTATGACTCAGTTTACATGAAATGAATGAGCAAATGTGTTGAGACAGGAAGTAGACCAGAGGTTACCTGAAGGCTGGTGGATTAGGCTAAAATGGGAAGTGACCGCTTATGGTTATGTTTCTTTGATTGTCTTGATGATTACACGTCTCTGTGGCTGTAGTAAAAACCAGGTGATCGTATGCTCAGATGAGCAAGTTGTATAGTATGTAAATTACATCTTTTTTTTGTTTTTTTGAGACAGAGTCTCACTCCGTCACCAGGTGCCAGGCTGGAGTGCGGTGGCGTGACCTCGGCTCACTGCAACCTCCGCCTCCCGGGTTCAAGCAATTCTCCTGCCTCAGCCTCCCAAGTAGCTGGGATTACAGGCACGTGCCACCACGCACAGCTAATTTTTTTGTGTTTTAGTAGAGACGGGGTTTCACCATGTTGGCCAGGATGGTCTCGATCTCTTGACCTCGTGATCTGCCCGCCTCAGCCTCCCAAAGTGCTGGGATTACAGGCATAAGCCACCGCGCCCGGCCGTGAATTACATTTTAGTAAATCCAATATATCCTGCAATTCCTTGCAAGACTAAAAATGCCTTATTTTCTGTGTTGATGGTTCCATGCAATGAAAAAGTCAGATATAATACCATATGGTAATCTCATAGATACAACAACAGGACCTACAGAGTAGATGGTATTGATTGGAACCAGAATCCTGACGACACATTTAACAAATCAGACGGTACCAAAATCACCTATATAGACTACTACAAGCAGGTATGACACTGTATTTCTTTAAATATATTTAAATTGTAAGCTGTCATGTGTTTAAGTTTGTCTTATTTAGATACTCGAACATATTTGTCATGTAAACATATTTTTCTTTTAGGGGATTAATTATAGCTTGACTTCTCTATTATCCACGCATCTAAGTGCCTTGTATATAGGATAATGTCACATAACTAGAATGGCTTTAGTGTGACCCCTTCTTTCCCTTCTTTCAGTCTTAACAGTGGCTACTATCAGTCTTTTTCTTTTTTGAGGTGGAGTCTTGCTCTGTAGCCCAGGCTGGAGTACGCTGGTATGATCTTGGCTCACTGCAACCTCCGCTTTCCGGGTCCTGGTTCAAGCAATTCTCCTGCGTTCAGCCTCCCAAGTAGCTGGCATTACCGGTGTGTACAAACATGCCCAGCTAACTTTTATATTTTTAGTAGAGGTGGGGTTTCACCATGTTGGCTAGGCTGGTCTTGAACTCCTGACCTCATGATCTGCCCACCTCAGCTTCCCAAAGTGCTGGGATTACAGGCATGAGCCACTGTGCCAGGCCTATCATAGTCTTTTTTTTTTTTTTTTTTTTTTTTTTTTTTTTTTTTTTTTTTTTTTTTT